AAGAGTCTGGACTCAGGATCCAAGATACATTTTTTCAGTGCACATTGTTAGGAATCTCGGAATTATTTCCAGTGTATCTTTCTTTCTGGAGTCTCTACGGGATGGTCCAGAATTACCGTTTTAGAATGATTTAATCAAAATCAAAAATCACTGAAAATTGAAATTGAAATCGATCCCAAAAAACCCAAAATCGGCCCATCCCTGACCATAATACCGAGTAGTGACCTTTGAAATAGGAGAGAAGAGCCGCCCCCCCCCNGTTCGATTGAATTCTAGGTATATAAAGCTAAACTTAGAGGTCTGGAAAAAAGTTATGATACACATAATTGACCGCGAGGAATTCAAATCTGATAGCCCCGAAACCCCCCGACTATTCCTTTATGGGGTACGGAGGGATTCTGAACTTAATGATTTTATGAGTTTAGCCCAAATTCTAATTTATTGGCTTCAATCAACTCAAATAACACCTTACCTCCGGACCTATTTGTCAAAGCTATACCTAGCATTTCATATAGAGGAGGCATCCCCCAAATTTCGGGGTCAGTATTTTAGTCAAGAATGGGCAGATTTTTTATTTTTGTATACTGATTTTATTTCCAATTTTCCGTGCTATCTGAGCTTGATGAAATTTTTTTTGAAAATTCCGACGGCAACCCGGCAAAGCCTGGCACGGTAAAAAAAGGCCATTCGGAATTGGATGCGTCAAAAATTGATTTGTGCCCTTTCGATCCTATAGCTTAATTAGACGTATTTTTGCCAAACGGAACTACGTGCACGAAGACATGAGCCCTGAGACCCATAGAAATGTATGCATAACAAGGCTCATGCCTTAATGCACATAGTTCCGTTTGACAGAAATACGTCCAATTTTCAACGGTTCATCAAACATCTTGGAAAAACGGATAAGGGGTTACCCCCAAAAGTCGTGGCAACACCCCAATTTGTTGGCCAATCAAAAAGCGGAACAGTTTTCCTGTAGTAAAAAGATACGAGCGGTCATACTCTGTCTATATAGATACTCTAACCGTGATGAGAACCGATTTTCGGAGCACCCGACAACATCCCCTCGGACTGACCCTCTCCCGAATTTACGTGGGGAAACTTGCCGGCACCGTTGTCGGCCCTCGCGGAAATGCGCGGATTCTCCCGACTAGGCGGGGGCCGCGGGGGGTCCTTCGCATGGCGACGGCAACGCTGCACACGGGGCACGGGAGGGGGCGTTATTTAGGAGTTCCCAGATTATGGGCAACTTCTTGACCCGGAGCTTCAGGTGTTCAAGTTGTGTAAATAGAGAATGGCTAATCCTCTTGGAGAAGTATTTATTCGAGAACTCCGCGGGTCGCCCCACCCGCGAGCCACCGCCACCGTTAAGCGCCTTAAAATCCGCAACTTCCCGACGGGGAATCAATGGGTCCAAGGGCCAGGTAAGAAGGACCACGAGCCATGATTCAGGGTGCAAAAAAGAAATCGAAGTGGGCCACGGGACCAGGGATGAAGTAAGGTGATTCCATGGACGCCATAATGGAGATGTTGCATGTGAGAGGAATTTGCCAGTTGACCACTGATTCTTATGTAAAAGTTTGCGAGAAACACGATGGTGCCACTGGTTTTCTCTGAAATCAACTCCCAAGCTTAAAAAAAGCTCTCAAGTTGAGGCCAAAATGGAGGGGATATCCCACGCTATCCTGAGAGTCCACCTCTACATCAAGACAAACTCTCCATGCAAAGATAGAGAGCAAATACATCGACAGGGCTGCCGCTTTATTTGGAAACTCCAAAACTGAACATACGAAAACCCTGCTAATGTATTTGCTCTCTATCTTTGCATGGAAAGTTTGTCTTGATGTAGAGGTGGATTCTGAGGGTAGCGTGGGATGTGGGAAGTCCCCTCCATTTTGGGCTCAACTTGAGAGCTTTTTTGAGCTTGGGAGTTGATTTCAGAGAAAACCAGTGGCACCATCTTGTTTCTCGCCAACTTTTACATAAGAAGCAACAGCCAAATCGCAAATTCCTCTCACATGCAACATCTCCATTTGTGTCAAAACGATATGCGATGTATCGCATGGATGAGTTCCATATTCCCAGCTACCTGTCATTTTTTTTGTATTTTGAGATCGCACTTCTGCTGTCATGAGACTGAAGAATTCATGTTCCAAATTTGACCAAGAAATTCAGCGGATTCAATGCAGGGGTTTTTCAGAGGAAAAATATCGCATGCGAGTGCAGTTTCGATATCAGTATCGAATGCGATATTTTTCCTCTAAAAAGCCCTGCCTTTATGACGTTGAATTTCTCGAGTCATCAGTGAACTGCGTTCTTTAGCCTGTATCTGCATCCTGCACCTTGTGTTACTCAGTATCGTGCTCTTAAAGTTTCGGCCCCCCATAGAGGCAGGAAACTGCTGTTTCTGGATTATATCAGGCAGTCGAGGGTATCCTTGGGATGAATCAAGAGAAAATAAATGAGTCGCGGAAGACCGGTAAAAGTCGGGGAATCAGATCAGAATGACTCAAAAGACAGAGGAACCTTGCCTTCTCGGAAACGGTACATGAATGCTTTTCGCATCACGGAGATTCAGCGTGTTTCTCAGCCGGATTCAAAATGACTGACAAGTCCATGGTCGAAGTAAAACAATACGTATCTTAATTGCAACGCTTTAAACACTCCGATCATATTTTCTCTCAAAATGTAAATAGCAGAGGTTTGCAAAGTCGCAATCGAAGATAAGCTTTTTCCGACTTCAACCATCAAAATATGTTTTGTCATATCAGTCGCGTTTCGCCTCAAGAGTCAAATAACTTTCTTGAATTTGGTCAGAAGAAACATCGTAAAGTTAAGGAATTTCAATTCTGAATTTCTTTGACCCTGCGTCGCCGTTCTGTTTGTCTGAGTTTGTTCGTATTGCAATCAAGTAATAATAAAATCAAGATTCTCTCTGCAATTTCAAGTCGGACAGATGCTTTGCAGTGCCCTACAGTTGGATGTATTTCTGCTAAACATAATTATGTGCGTTAAGACATGAGCCCTGAGACCCATAAGAATATATGCATAACAGGGTTCACGTCATAATGCACTTAGTTCCGTCTGCGGTGGGCACGGACGTTCTATTGAACTTGGAGCAACTATTTAAACTCGCCGGAGATAAAATTGCATACTCAACGAAATGAAGGAGCTTCAAATGATTGCGCTGGTCGGCTTTCCGGCCGGTGCCTTCTGGTCGGAAATACGATTCGATACCGATGAACTATTTTGATCAGAATTAATAAATGGTCTTGTCTTTGCACGCGATACAGCGTAAAGCACGTCATTCCACCGGTCCTCAGAGCGAAGACGTCAAGGTTTTTTCACAGTCTAGCTGTGAAAAACGTTTCGCATTCGCAGCACGCCGCCGCTCTCCCGGCAGGCGGGTGGTGACCGATTTTTTGTAGGAAGAGGCCCCTGGCGGAGAAACTCGTGTATCCTGTAAATTTTTATGTTTTTAATTTTTTACCTTTAAAATTACACAATGGTCGTGTGATGTGATTCGTGAACTCTCAACGCTAGATGAAATATAATAATGAAAGGAGGGTCGTGTGCCATGCGCGCTGCAAACGGCGCCGGGCAGCTTATGTAATTCTCCCCTGTGCCCTGTCGACGAGCGAGGAGGGCCTCTTCGATTGTGAGTCTAAGAGGATGTCGGAATTGCCACAGACATTCTGACACATAGATGGCTAAAGTGCGAAACCAAGTATCTCCATTTGCGGCTTCGTCACGAAAAACCGCATGTATTAGTTTTCAACGGCCCTCGTCCCCTCTTCCCGCACGACCGACTTTATTTTTACGAGAGCATGAACTGCACTAGAAAAATTGCATCTTCTACAACTTGAGTTATGTGGCATTTTTCTCGTAAACGCACGATTCCAGCGTAAAATCGAGTTTTTTGTACGAAATCGAGGTCTAAACCTAAATATCATAATTTCATCACAAAATTGACAGTTGGCACCATTTGAAATGATTGAAATTGACCTAAATTTTGGCAAACATGCTTTTTTACCAAACATCATCGATTGCCGCCTGGGGAGCGGAACGTTTCAGACTTTCATTTTTTTTTTGATGCACCCTAGGGAGACCTCTGTGGGGCACTTGTGCAAGTGTTTTTGGCTAGTAAACTTAATTTTTTTTTTAAAATAAAAGCTAGCAGACGAATGTCAAATGGCGGCCGACAATGCCACCACTATACTGCCGTGATAGCGAAGGGAGCGCAATAAGTGCAAAAATGAAGTTTTGAGAGAACGGGCTTAGAAGCGTCCGACCGGAAAATTTTATTGAGAGAGGCCTCCATTTCTTTTTCAAATTGCCACTACCATGAAAAAAATTCTCGGCGTTTTTACCACGGTCCGTTGGTACCTTTACCATCTCACTTTTTTTTTTTACGAATTATTGGTAATTTTACCAAGACAGACTGGTAAGCTTACCTAAAAACCGGTAGTTTTACTGTTTTTTTTTTCAGGTAAGAATACCACTTTTATTGGTAATCAATTCCCGGTAATTTTGCTATTTTATCTCGGTAATTCTACCACAGTCGATAAAAAATATTGGCGTTTTTACCAAGGTCCAGTAAAATTACCGAGAAAGTTCAATAATTTTACCGAGATTCCATTAATGGTAATTTTACCAAGAAAAAAACTGGGATCAAATAGAACCCTGAATTCTTGGTAATTTTACCCTTTTCTTAGTAAATACACCAAGATTTTTTTTTTCAGTGTAATCGTCCGAAAGACTCCTAGAAATCTTCTGGAAGATCAAGATTTTTTGAATCTTTTGGATTTTGCTATTTAATGAGAATATCGCTCTATATTATTTCCAAAATGTTCAGAGACCGTACCGTATACAAAAGCTCCTCGATGAGCGTTTTCCTCTCCGGTCATCCCGGCCGTTGGAGCTACGCGAAAAGTCCGCAAGAGCGCGCCCCCTGCTCTCCATCGGCGAGGGATGTTTTCCCACCCTCAGTTGCCCGCGACGTTCGGTGGAAGTGACTCCTACCCCGTCTCGCTATCCCTTCGAGACCCGCTTTTTTCCCGCGCGACGAACTTCCGACCCGCGTCTACCTCAACGTTTCAATCACACCGTAAACTAAACCTTTCATATTAACTGGTGGATGGTAAATTTTCTGTGATCTGAGTGCTCGAATTTTCGAACCGATCAGGGAGGGATCGTGGATTGAGATTTTTAGTCTTTAACGCCTGTTTAGTAATTAGTTTTGTCTGCTCAACAACCTAGATTTTTAGTCGTCGAAAAATCCTTGTTTTCAGTGTTTAAAACCGCGGTTCCAGCGATCAGAATTTTTGGATTTCTTCAGCGCATCAAATAGAGATTGAAAATTGGGTTATCCGAGACCCCCGGCTTTTCAATGGTTTTTCTTGTTGTTTCCGGGGTTTACTCGGTAGTGCAACTCTATTGAACTAATCTAGAAAGCAAAAGCTCGTTAATTTTTCGAAATTGACTCAAGGAAATGCATTTTGGACTGGGATTTTCGCCTGGATCCGGTGGAATGAAATGTCACTAGCGCTCGGCGTCAGTCGCTTGGTTCAACAAGTCCCGCGAAAAATCGCGGGATCCGAGAATTTTTCCGGGATGGAAAAGGCAAAAGCACCGGACTTTTCGCTCTCCAAAGGCTTTTGACAGCCCGGTTTCCGGAAAATGCGGGCAGTCACCGGGAGTTCCGGGAACGTAGCCTCGATTCCGCACCCAAGGAAACCTAGCCCGGTGAGAGTGTTTACCCGATCGAGAAGTGAACTGCATTAAATCGTTTTAAAAGCTTTTTCCCGGAAAAGTGTCCGCCGGAAAATCCGGAAAAGTGTCCGCCGGAAAATCCGGAAAGTGTCGTCACGTTCCAGTGTGAACCGAGTGCATAATGAATCGGCTATTGGTTGATGTACCTGTGATTTTGCTACGGAATAACTACCAGAGGTGCATCCACGGTCTCAAGGTCCTATGGTTCCTCAGCCTTTTTGCCTCGTTTTCTTGCCAAGGTGCGTGGAATTGTATCTTCGTAGACATATTTTGTCACGGTGTCTTTATGACCTGGAAAAATTAAATGTAATTAGGTAACAATAAGAATTCATATGGATAACCCGGAATTTCTTCCCTTCTTTAGCATCCGAATCATTGAGGTGTTTCGAAAGTACCGGAATGTTTCGTTTCTTCAAGCCGGTGCCTTTTAAAACTCATCAGATTTACCTATCAAAGGATAATTTTTTTTCACACGGGAGGGTTTTAGAATTTCCAAGGGAACACTCGAAGACCCGTGGGAACGTTTTGCCAAACAACAAAACTGCACAAGAAAAAATTGGGTGTTTTGACTGTCAGTCTTATAGTTTTTAATATTGGGGTTTGCGTTGAAGAGGCTATAAAGATTTGAGATGAATTTTTTTTTTTTTATTATTTCCTCTCTATTCTTTTAACGAGGGAGAATTAAAATAGTTTCTGCAATCGATTTTTTTTCCCCATCGATTTTATAGAAGGATTAAACGAAGAAAAAATGAAGGAAGTTACGAATCCAAGGATTCTTGACCTAAAATTTTTGTTGCAAACAATACATATGTCAATATATTTTCCCATTTCCACCCTACCTTATTCATTTTTCTTTTTGTGAGAGACTAACAAAAAGACATTTTTCAATTATTGTAAGTTCACGAATAAAATCTATTTGTCTCAATCCTTTTGAGTATTTTAGTGGAAGATGGATGCACTTTTTGCAACCTATAGTGTCATATTATTAAAAAATTTTTCAGCCGAAAGTTAATCAATAGGATAGGCTGTACATAGTGTTACAATATTAGAAACTAAGTAAAAACCTGGATGAGCCGAAGGCTGCCATTTTAAAACACTACAAGTACGACATTTTGAGCCGTAAACGTCAATAGTTTTTTTCAGCTGTAAAAAACGCAAAAAATTATTCAAATATCAAGTGGCGGCTGTTAAGAGTCGCGGCTGAGGATGACGCCAAAGTTGTCGAAACGCGTCCCAAGTTTGATGTGTAGTGCAATTGAGTTAAATTTTCGTCCATTTTTTGGTTGTTGATAATTTTTCTTTACTTTGCGACCTGACTGCGATTGTTGTCACGCAACCATTCAATGAAAAAAATTTGAGTGCAGAATAGCGGGTGACACTCGAAATTCTAATAATTTTGTGTGTTTTTGAAGCGGAGAAAAGCTCATGACGGCCTCAATTTCGGTACCCTCGTCACTAGTTTTTACATCGCTCATCCTGTAATGTTATTTTAAATGCGCCCAGTGCGTAAGTAGTTTTACCACAATATCTATTCGGAGTTCACATCATAACTTGGATCGTATGATGCAAAAATGTTAAATACCACACTCAGGTCAACTAGTCGGTAAACCTTGTTTAAACGGAGGAATTTCAAGCTGAGCATACATGATTCTTTGATTTAATTTGTCATTCCCAGACATTAAAGTTAGATCAAGTTTTAGAATTTCCACCAAGTTGAACGTAGGCATACGGCATACCTGTAATTTTTTTAAATTGAACGAAAACTCTATACCCGCAGCTTGCGACAACACGGATTGAATTTTTGGCATTTTACATTTTGATTAGTCGCAATGTTAACTCTCTTCTCAAGCTTCATTTACGACAATGAGCTTCCTCTGCAAATATTTATTTGTTCTTTTCATTATTTACTCCATCGGGTCTGAGGAAGAAACAAACGCAGAATAAACATTTTCCTTGTTTAATTATTAACCAACGATTACTGTGCGAAATTCATTTTTGATAGATCACGCTTTGAAAGAGTGTTCTTGGTTTAAGATTAAAAAAGCAGAAAAAGTTTCTTGAAGTTAGCCTCGCTTTAAAACCCTCTCCTAACCGAGCGCAGAACTTTTCAAAATATTTGCACACAATTTGCGAAAATAGAATGAAGAAAGTTTCGCTCAACTCTCACTTTATGCGGTGCTTTCGCAATGATAATTTTTCAACGCCTCAGAGCAAAACCGGAATTTTTGCGAAATTATGTGGAAGGCTGATTTTTTACTCCTAAAATTGGAAGGTTAAAACCGAGAGTAGGAGATATTATAAATTCTCTAAATCTGACGAGCAAATAAATATAAATAAATCAATAAAAAATATCGTCGATGAACCAAATTTTTAAAACTTGCAAAATCCATATCAATCATTTCTTTTTCAGAAATTAAATGCTCAATGAATGTAGAATATCATCAAATGAACCAGTGACGCTTCGTTACCACAGTCTATACAGCATCATTTTAATTACGAGCTTTAATCATGAAAAAGTTCAACAATCATAGTTCTTGAGGGTGACCGCCCGATTCCCTCCCAAAATTCACTCCCGGATATGATTCCCTCCCGGCGATGCAATTTTTGACCCGATCGTAATTCATTGAATCTGAAAATTGGGTTTGTACAGTTCGCATCTGAGATAACTGTAAGTTCGCCAGCATTTTTGAATTTTTTCCGCAAATTTTTAGTTGTTCTCGGTGGCAAGCAATGCCATTCTCCGCACGCGGTTAGGTGGTACTGTTCCTTAGCCCTTGTCATAAGATTAAAGCGGGCGGTTGGATTGACCAGTCATAGTGAAAATTCCTACCTTCCAGAAATGCAAAATCCATGAGCGGGATTCGAAAAAATGTGTCTACCGTTTGTCCATACTTAGGGGAAAAGAATTTGTTCCCATTCCTCAGACGGATCATACAATTTGTAATTTTAGTTCAGTCCTCACGGTCAAATTCTGAAGTGTGTGCGTAAATCTCTGACTATCTGCTGTTTCAAAACTTCGAGTGTAATTGGAAATAGTCAAAAATTACAAAATTTGTTTGATTGGAAAGATGAATTTTCTGGCGCAATCTATACGCTTCGGCGGAGGGATCGAGTTTGGCATATTTTCATATCCATGGCGAGACGTGAATGATCGTTAATCGATTTTTCCCTGTTTGAAGCTATACGGAAAAGAATTGAGTATCGAAGTGTTCGTTGCGAACACCCTGCATATCCATCCTTTTCCGTAATTTCAAATGGCAGATAAATCAATGTATCGCAAAGCACGATATTTATGTTTTTCTTACGAGCTGGAAGTTTGAGTTAAGCCAAACGCAAACGTTAATCTTTTAGATAAGAGCTGCTTTTAATATTTTTTATTTTTTTTGTTCCAATCGGATTATATGTGAAATTTAAATGAGAAAAGATACCTAAAATTTGCACCTTGTTGGTTCGTAGTGAGGTCAGTAAGACCGACTGATCAAAAATTCATGTTTAAGAACTCTTATTAAAGCCAGGCCTTGATTTCGATTCTGAATCGCTACCATGATCTACATTCTGGCTGAAACTTTCCGTTTTAAACAATCGCAGCCGATTCAGATCTTTGTTTGTTGATTTGGCCGTTCTTGGCGATACTTGGGGAAACACATAAAATGTCATATTCTTAGCTTTGCTACGGATCACCGTTGACTCTGAAGTTCCTCCATCTCGTCGTGTATGCAATTTGATCGCCGGAGAGTTGAAATAGTTGCTCATAGTCAAATCAAATTTTTACTAACGCACCCCGAGATATGAAGAATGACAAAGGGCGTGTTTAAGAGAGTGTTATTCTTTAAAAATAAAAAATGGCCTTGAGCCTTATATTTTAAGGACTAGTGTTACTCGTTACTCTGGATTGAGAAAATTGTAATTGACACGTCAAATGATGTGGCTGCGCATGCTTTTTAAGTTAATAAAAACAAAAAACAAAAAAAAACAATTTGATGTTCCCAAACAATAAAACGCTTAAAATCGCATCTTGTCAAGAGTGATCCACTCAAGAATATTTTTGCTTAAAAGTTACTCTTAGTCGCCCGTGTTTTGTACACTCGCACACTTCTCTCTGACTACTTTGTAGTCCAGGCAAACAAGGAAAAGAGCCTGCAAAAATCCCGGGTAGCAATGTTTTCATCGATTCCTATGTAATTTTTGACGCTGAATCCGAATTTCAACTTTGCGCCATTAAATTCGGACCGGAAAGTTGCCAAATTTGGCAAAAATGGCCTAAAATCGGCCTTTTTTCCGGATTATGGTCTGTAACTTGCCAAAAATTGATCTGACGATAAAATTAGTTATTTTCAGAAATAAAGCTCGTTAAATTTCCTATAAAAATGTTCCTATAGACTTTTTTGCTCAAGGCAAAATCAAGCGCGATGGCGGGCTCCAAACTTTAAAAAATGAGCGAAAATTTGGTTCTTTGCGGGTTATAGCCTGTGACTCGTCCAAAATTGATCTAACGATAATTTGGTTGTTTCAAAAAAAAAAGTTCGTTACATTTCCCATAAAAAAGTTCCTATACACTTTTTTGCTCCAGGCAAAATCAAGCGCGCTGGCGGGCACCGAACTTTGAAAAATGAACGAAAATCGCGTTTTTTTGCGGTTTTTGCAAAAATCCCGGGTGGTTATGCTTTCAGTGATTCCTACGTAATTTTTGACGCTGAATCCGAATTTCAACTATGCACCAAAAAATTCGGACCGGAAAGTTGCCAAATTTGGCAAAAATGGCCTAAAATCGGCCTTTTTTCCGGATTATGGCCTGTAACTTGCTAAAAATTGATCTGACGATAAAATTAGTTTTCAGAAATAAAGCTCGTTAAATTTCTTATAAAAAAGTTCCCACAGACTTTTTTGCTCAAGGCAAAATCAAGCGCGCTGGCGGGCTCCGAACTTTGAAAAATGAGCGAAAATTGTGTTTTTCGCGGTTTTTACCCGATGTCTTCTGTTTTAAAAGTCTGACGAGTAATTTCTAGACAAATTAAGTGAAGATGATAAAATTTACACTTAGTGAAATGAATTGATGTAAATAATAAGGATAACCCAACACATTACAGTATGCGCAATTTTCGCACATTTTACAAAGTTCGGAGCCCGCCAGCGCGCTTGATTTTGCCTTGAGCAAAAAAGTCTATAGGAACATTTTTATAGGAAATTTAACGAGCTTTATTTCTGAAAATAACTAATTTTATCGTCAGATCAATTTTTG